TTGACAGGCAATAAAAACAATCCAGTGAAACAATTTTTTTTATTTCTTCTTTTGAAGATATATTTACAGTGTTCTTATGTACAGTATTAATTTTCGAAACGTGTCGAGTAAGAATACCCTGGAGAGAACGTGCTTGATCCCGGTTAACAGCGTTGATTCTCATCCAACGCGAAGGCCGTTAACCGGGTTTTGTAAATATTGGTGTACAGTAATATTTATGAGTGAAAGAAAAAAAATTAACGCACGACGTGATTTAATTCAGCCATTTTTTTTCTTTCTGGAAAATCTTGCTGGTATGACGAAGTTTTTGCAGTGAATTGATATTTCTTCTTCCCGGAAATTATTTTACATGGTTGAAAGAAAAAAATCAAGAAATAAAGGCCGCTATCTGAGGCAAAAATACGTAGCACAATATACATTTATTTTAGAGTGAGATGAAATAAAGTTTGCATTTAATGTATTCATGACTTGGCAACTCGTATTTATTTTATCTTTCTCTCGGTTTACCTTTGGGAAATAATTTGTCATCTTTTCTCTTTCAGGGGAATCATTTAACATGGGTTTTAGAAAAAAATTAGGCCGCTATCTGAAACACACACAACATTCTCAGCAACCGTAAAGCGGAATGTAAATTTATTTCAGGTTCAGAGGAAATTACGTTTGCCTGTATCTTTTTTTTCTCATTTCTGAGAAATTATTTGACATATCGGTACTTTTATATCAGAAATTTAGGCCGCTATCTGAAACGAAAGAAATGAAAAGCAACAATAAAACAGAATTGTATAAATTTATTTCAGGGTGAGAGCGAATCACCTTTAAATTGCCATTACAGTATGTATTATTTGACAATTATATACAGTATTTATATTTTCTTCTCGGTTTTATTTTCCGAACGAAGTGAACACATTTTTTTTTAACAATTTCATGCCATCAAAATTCGAATTCTCGTTATTTTTTTTCGTTCGAAAGTGATTAATTGAATGAAGGTTCGTTCGGCAGTTGGAGTTTTCTCTTCCGAATGTGTGTTGAAACAGCTGTCGATGAGTTCAAGGCTTCTGCTGACGGGAAAGTTTGTTCGAAAAATAACGAACTTTTTTTATTTTATTTCAAAGGATGACCTTGTGTTTTTTTCCTTGTGAGATAAATATTTTCGAATTTACTGCGCCTTCTTGCTTCTTTTTTTTCGGTGGGTTTTTACGAAGGATACGACTTTTCGAAGTTTGAACGAGAGTCAAATGATCCATGAAATGTTAATTTTATTTGCAGGGATATTTAAAAAAAAGTTTTCCACTAACTTGAATTCTGAAGCGAAGTTTTCAAGGGAAAACGAGATTCACTCGAATACTTTAGTGCGTGAAATCCCGTCTTTGTTTTCGTTCATCCTTCTTTTCGCTGGACATAAATGTTGATGCTAAAAATGATTTTAATCCATCAGAATTCGTTTATTTTGCCGATTTTATTTTAATTTGGAACAAAAACATGTTCGGTTTTGTTTTTGGAGATTTATTTTTGCACCGTCCCGCGAAATCCCGTATTCTCACCATCCTTTCCTTTGGATAATTGTGATGGTATAAATGGTCCCATCCGTCAAAAGTTAATTATTTTGAAGATTTCGGGGCCGATTTCTTTAAAATTTGAAGTGAAAAATGTTCTTTTTTGTGGGGATTATTTTTTCTTCATTTTTTTGAGACTCCTATTTATCCAATTGTTTCCGAGAGCAGGAATTTTTTTATCGCATGAACCAATAATGTAGGAATTGTACAGTTTTAATCAGAGGAGACTAGAGAAAAATGTTCAAGCCGTACACCTTGCTCGAAGTCGTTTGTTTTACACCTGAAAAATTGCTTCTCAAATAATTGACTGATTTTATGAGATGTGAGAAGAAAAAGGGTTGTTTTTGGAAATTGGATAAGGAATGAAAAAGGAAAATGAAACACAACAATTGGCCGGTGCGCGAACCGACCAGGGATTTTTCTC